GGCATCTGATTGGAATCATACACTATGTAGTCTTTTCAGATTGGCTTCTTTTACTTAATAATATGCGTTTAAGATTCTTCCATGTCTTTTCATGGCCTTATAGCGCGTTCCTTTTTAGTGTTAAATAATATTCCCTTGTTTAGATGGATCACAGTTTATTTATTCATTAACATACCGATGGACATCTTGATCACCTTTAAATTTTGACAATTATAAAGTTCCTATAAACATCTGAATGCAGATTTTTTTTTTTTTTTTTTTGAGTGGGAGTCTCACTGTGTCACCCAGGCTGGAGTGCAGTGGCATGCTACCGCCACTGCAGCCTCGACCTGCTGGGCTCTGTGATCTTTCCACCTCAGCCTTCCAAGTAGCTGGAACTATAGACATGCACCATCATGCCCAGCTAATTTTTCTTGATTTACTGTAGAGATGAGGTCTCACCAGATTGCCCAGGCTGGTCTCGAACCCATAGGCTCAGGCAACCCTCTCACTTCAGCCTCACAAAGTGCTGGGATTATAGACATGAGCCACCATGCCCGGCCCTGTATGCAGATTTTTGTGTGGGTGTACATTTTCAGTTTTGGGGGGTAAATATCAAGGAACACAGTTGTTGGATTGGATGGTAGGAGTGTGTTTAAATCTGTGAGAAAGTGCCAGAGTATCTTCCAAAGCGGCCATATCATTTTGCACTCCTACCAGGAACAAATGAGAGTTCCTGTAGCGTTTGATGTCAGTGTTCTGGATTGTGGCAATTTTAACAAGTATGTAGTGGTATTTAATTGTTTTCATTTGCATTTCCCTAATAACATGACAGGGGCACCTTTTCAAATGCTTATTTGCCAAATGTCTACCTTCTTTGGTAAGGTGTCTGTTAAGGAGAGTTGGAGTCTCACTTGGTTGCCCAGGCTGAAGTGCAGTGGCACAATCATGGCTCACTGCATCCTTGACCTCCTGGACTCAGATGATCCTTCTGCCTCAGGCTTCGAAGTAACTGGAACTACAGATACCATCATGCCTGGCTAATTTTTTTTAAAATTTTGTGTAAAGATAAGTTCTAGCTATGTTTTCTAGGCTGGTCTCAAATTCTCAAATTTTCCAGGCTGGTCTCAAATTATAGGCGTGAGCCATGGCACCTGGCCCATATTTTAATCATATTGTTTGTTTTCTTATTGTTGAGTTCTTTGTATAACTTGGATAACAGTTATTTAACAGACACATCTTTTGTAATTTTTTGTGTTTTTTTTTTTTTTGGTTTGGGTCTTAATCTGTCACTCAGGCTGGAGTGAAGTGGCACATTCACAGCTTACCACAGCCTGGAATTCCTGGGCTCAGGTGATCCTTCTACCTCAGTCTCCTGATTTGCTGAGGTTACAGGCACAGGCCACTGTTTTTTTTGTTTTTGTTTTTGTTTTTGTAGAGACGAGGGTCTCACTATATTGCCTAGGCTGGTTTCAAACTCCTGAGCTCAAGCAATCCTCCTACCTTGGTCTCCCAAAGTGCTGGAATTACAGGAGTGAGCCACCATGCCAGGTTCTTTCCTATTAATTCTTATTAATTCTTGGATGTCATATCTAAAAATTATCTCCTGTATGTTTTATAGTTTTACATTTTATCTTTAGGCCTTTGATCCACTTTTAGTTAATTATTTGTAAAGAGTGTAAAGTCTGTGTCTGGATTCTTTTTTTTTTTTTTTTTTAAATGCATGTAGATGTCCATTTTTTCCAGCACCATTTGTTGAAAAAACTGTCTTTTGTCTATTGGATTGCCTTTACTCTTTGGTCAAAGACCAGTTGACTATATTTATGTGCGTCTCTTCCTGGGATCTCTATTCTGTTCCATTGATCTAGCTGTCTATTCTTTTGCCAATATCAAACTGTCTTGATTGTTGTCATTTTATAATAAGTCTTGAGATTGGCTAGTGTCAGTTCTCCAACTCTGTTCTTCTCTATCATGTTTCTTATTCTCTTAACCTCTGTCTTTTAATTGGTGTATATAGACCACTTACCATTATTGTATGTAAGGGCTTAATTTGCTTTGGGTTTTTTGTCTTGTTTTCTCAGTTTTTTGTCTTCTGTTTTCTTTTTTATGCTTCCTACATGTTTCTTGACCATTTTTGTAAACTCTATTTTTTCTTATCTGTAGTGTTTTTTGGTGCATCTCTCTGTGAAGTTTTTTTAGTGGCTGTTCTAGGTATTACATTATTCATGTACAACTTATCACAGTCTACTGGTGTGGATGTTTTACCAGTTCAAGTAAAATGTAGAAATCTTTTCTTCCCTTAATCCCTCTTTGCTCCCTGTTTGTAATTGTCTTAACTTATACATATCTTTGACATATATTGAGAACCAAATCAGTGTGATAATTTTTAATCAATCATCAAATATAATTTAGAAAACCCAAGATGAGAAGAAATTTCTCTTGCATTTACCTGTGTTGTTGCTCTTTCCGTTTTTCTTTCTTCCTCCTGTCCCTTTAATTTCCTTCTTGTGTCATTTCCATTCCATTTCAATAGTTTACTTCAGCCATTCTTTTAGGACAGGTTTGCTGGTAACAAATTCTTTTGATTTTCTTTCATCTGTGATTGTCTTGATTTCTCCTTAATTCCCAAAGGACATTTCCACTGAATATAGGATTCTGGGTTGATGGCATATGTTGACTGTCTTTTCTTATTCAAGTTGAAGTTTTCCTGCTTCTTGATACAAGTGGTTTAACTACATCTGGGACATTTTGAATAGAGCGTTGCAAGACTCTGGAGTCTTATTTAGACTTCTGTCTTAGCAGGCCTCCTCTAATACCACGCCCCTGGAGGGAAACGGCACTGATTTATTCCTGCCAGGTGGAGGTAGACGTTCAAGGTCCTCACTTAGCCTTTGTTGACACACAGGGTGAAAAGAGGGAAATGATATCTCATGAATGTTCGGTGCGGGGGTGGAGTTTTAGGGTCCCCACCAGGGCTCTGTGGGACCCCTCTGGGAGAGGGCCTTGTTACTGCACCACGCATGGCCTCTACGGACACTGCAAGGAAAGGGCCAGTAGGAACATCTGTGCCATCCACCACAGCTTCTCTGATGCCGTCCAGTGGAGAGTGGAGGTGGTGCCTCATCATGATCAGGTGGGTGTGGACCCAGGCTCCCCAAGAGACCTTCAGGGATCTTGTGGAAGACCTTTCTGATACTATCCTAGTAGGGAGGAGGAGGAGGAGGAAAGTCTTGTTACAGCCAGAAGAGGTTGAAAGCCTTTGCTGACTTGGGTAGAAAGTAAGAGTGGAGCCATGGTTTCATCATGGTGATTGGCTGGAATGGGGCAGCGACTGTCTAAAAGTTTTCTGTCTTTTGCAGTTGCCCTTTCCTAGTCCTCTAGCTAAAGAGAACAGGCTTTCACTGGGGCTTGTGTTGACACATCCATCCGTGTTTTGGAACTGTCGTTTCTCCACCCCCCACCAAGCATTTATGAGCTCTCACTTCCCTCTTTCCACCCTGAGTGTCAGCTTAGGATGAGGGAAAGGTAAACCCAGGGAACTCACCGCCATGTTGTTACTCAGTTCTGAGATCCCTGGTCTATCTGTCTTCTTCTTTTCACCGCTCAGAGTCCTCTTATGTTTGCTTTGTATGTAATGTTCAGGGTTGTTGCTGTACTTCAAGTGGGATAAACAGGGAAACATGTACTTCCTCCATGTCATCTCAAATTGAAACTATTTAAAAAATATTGTCTAGTGTCCCTAAAATATTTCATAATTAAAAAAAAAAAGATTGGATGGTATTTGTGAAAGTTAAACTGCTCTTGAAGATTCCTGGAGTACCGTGACCCCTCACCTCGCCTCCCCACTTTTCCAGAGAAGTTGATCTTCTTATCCTGCTCAGCTCTGTCCTCTCCCCTGTGCCTTCTGCACTCACCAACCCCAAGAAAAGTGTTTCAACTCCTGCGTAAGACCAGGGCTAGGTGAGGGAAGACAACAGCAGATCATGTTGCATCAAGCTGGTTTTGGGGAGAAGGGTTATTAAAGGGGGTTTTGGTATTTCAAAAAAGGAAGTCATTGGAGGATTCTGATATTTAAAATATTTAACAATTAGTAGAGTACAATGTGGAGGCTCCTGTTTTCGTTAGTCATTGTGCACAGAGGACTCAGAGAAGAGACCACTGGCCAATCCAAAGGGATGTCTTTCAATGCTTTAACAGTCAGGGTAGCCTTACTGACATATTAGTTAACACCAGCCTTGTCTCTAACTACTTAGTGAACTTTCTTCTGCAAAAGGCAGATAGCAAAACTATGAAGATAAGTGAAGTTGTTTACAGACACTTCTATGACCAGCAGTCCATAGCAGAGTCAGAAAAAGGTGGAATCAAAGAACCGCTGGCCACTCTTTATTTCTTATTCCTTCATATTGCTAAAGCAAGTCAGGGACCCCCAAGTGACATTAACTGATTCCCTTTGAAAGGAGGAGTCAATATCAGGTTGGTCACAAGTCAAATGGCACTCTACGATCCTTTTATAATCAGAACAAAATAATTCAATCCCCTAGAGTATACACTAATGTTATAAATGAACACATTGAAATTTTAAGAGCATGATCTCAATTGGTTATATTCAAAAATCACTATGCATATCGCAATGCAGAGATCTTGAGAGATTTTGCCATCTGATATTTCAGAGCAGGAAGCAGCTGAAAAAATCATTTATAACCATGGGAAAAACTGAAATGACATTTTTAAAAGCTAAGAATAACTCACATTTTTATGAGACTGACGCGCTGCCTACTGCACTAACGAGGCTCCCAATTCACATTTTTAAAAAAGAAAAAATAATGTAAGAACTTAAAAAGAAGTAAATAAAAGACTATTCAGAGAATCACAAAAGAAACTGTTTGAGAGAATTAAGGCAGATGAAACATTCTTTTGTAGGTAATTGGTTGAGGAACAGGGGATCTGTGACCAGGCAAGGCAAAGGGGTTAGACGTTTCAAAGCAAAGTCTCCATGGTAAGATCAGATGCCAAGTGCTGGTCTACTTGTGGCCCAGAGGAATTGGAGGGAAGATGGGTTTGACATTGGAACCTGGGCGACTGACGGCTGAGACCGAAGACTGTCTTTTCTGTTGGCGAGACTCTTTTTCATGTGAAAATGACTGTATAGTTAATGCTGTAAAACATTCAGAAAAAGAGACACAGTGCATATAGTTAATCCCTTGCTCCGCTAAACAAAGACAATAAGCATTGCCTAATGTAAGCACTAGAACCATTTTTAGAATTCATTCAGGACAAACTATAAAATGCAAGTGAACATCCAAAGAAGAAAAGTAGTGGATGAGGTTAGAAAGTACTAGGTGCATGGTGGAACACATCTTAGGGTGTGTAGACTTGTCCAACGACTAGACAGTTGCTATAGCAATTGCTATGGTGTTCTTCCGCCTGTGCATGCCTTCCGTTACAGGGCTGGACAGCCACACACGTGCAGATTCAGCACAGACACTCCCTGCCCACGTACACAAGCACACACGCACACACGCGGCCCATGAAGTCCTTCCTACAGAAGCTTCACCTAATACCCTCTAACACGGGCCTGTTTACCAAGCAGGAAGCCTCCTTTGGGGACTGTGGGAAACAGGAGTTTGGAAGATGGAGAGTAAAGATCAACAGGCATGGTGGCCACAGAGAAAGTGGAATTCTCACTGGAGAGAAAGTGTCATGGGGCTGAGGAAGTCACGCGGAAGATCTACAGAGTGGGCAAAAACAGAAACAACTTACAAGGTAGGGAAGACTGCACTGATTGGCCAACCCAAAGCAATACAAAGTAAAAGGTAAAACGGACCCATCTGAGGTCCAGTCTGAGCAAAAATGGGGCACTACTTGGGAATACAAGCTCATGTTAACAGAGGACCAAAAAAAGAAAAGGAAAGAAAGTGCCTCTGTGTTTGCTTCTTTTTCTCTTTTGCCATGGAGATGTTTAAACAGGAAAGAGTAAGGCAGACATGTTAAGAGAAGGAAAGAAGCAGGAGAGGAACAGGCCTCCTTTTTCAGTCAGTTCAAGTTTCCACAGCCAACAGTTTACACCTCAAGGTGGTGAAATCACATAAGTCGTCTTAAAGTATCTGAGAATTCGTTGACGTCAAAAAAAGCACTGGAGACAAATAATATTGCCATTTGAAAAACAGGAATAAAGATGAATGAACCAGTACATTTGACTTTGAACCTTAGCGAATTTAAGTTTGTTGAAGAAATTATAAGGTAGAGAGTGATGAGTGTTGGAAGGAATTTGCGAAGGAACTTTACTTCAGATTAACATAATTTCCCTATGACTTTGCCGGGGTCAACAAATTATAGTCCGTAGGCCAAATCTGCCCTGCAGCTTTTTTTTGTAAATAAAGTTTTATTGGAACCCAGCCAATGCCCACTTCTTTACATGGTGCTCTAGCTGCTTTCACACTCCAGTGGGAGGCTTGAGTGGCTGCAGTAGTGCCCGTATGGCTCACAAAGCCAAAAGCATAATTGGGTGGCCCTTTACAGAAAGCTTGCTGGCCTCTGCATCAGGAAATACCACCGATATAAAGCATCTTGATTTCTGCAGGGCACCCATCAGAACTTCTCGTATCAACCCGGTAGGGAGGTGTGAGCAGTGATCACACACAAGGTGGACTCTCTCTGAAGTTGAGTCTCCAGATACATGTTACACGATGCTATTCTTGGCCAAGTCCTGGGTCCTGTTGCTGACAGTGACTATGACAAAGGCAGATGTCTCCTTCTTGCTGGCTTTACAAATGTAAAAAAAAATCTATAAAACCATGAATATGGGAGATGGTCAGATCCATCTGATCAGACTGGAATGTAGGGCTGAAACCAAAATGATCAAAGGACAGAAATAAAAGGTGCGTTAATATTAAAAAAATCTGCTCATATAGTGGATGATGGAGATCTGGTTTGGCAGCTCATGTGAAAAAGGCAGGAGCGTCTGGCTGCCCCGGAGGCAGCAGTGTGATGTGGATGCCAGAAAACCCCACACACAGCAGCAAATGGCAGCCTAGAAAGCTCCAAGCCCTCGCTCAACATGGAAATATTAAGTGAACACCTAGAGACAGGCTAAAATAGCTTCACAGGAGCTCCAGAGTCAGCCAGATGTCAATAGCAAGCAAATACCCAACCAAGAAAAAGCCATGTGAACATGGCAGGAAGTGTCCCGTGTCACCTGTCCTTGCTCCTCCCAGCATGCTGTGGTGTAGTCTGCGGAGAGTGCAGGCAGGTCCCTGGTCATATTCGGGAGTCAGGGAGAAGAGCAGTGCTCACCTGCCAGGGCTGCCCACTGACCTGTGTCATGGATGGAACCTCACACCATGGTGCCACCGTGGGCACTGCTTCAGAAAACCACAGAGGCACATGAGAAAAACAGCGAAAGCCCCAAGACCTCAGGAAAAGGAAGACCTTTAAAAGCGCACTCACAAACCTGGGGAATGCATACCCGGAAAAGGCCTGAAAAGATATGAAGCTTCCACACAGGGCTGGTCCAGGGCTCAGCACACGCACTGCTAATTAGTCTTCCCTGCATAGAGCCAGTCTGCAGCCTTGGAAATGTGGCTGTTTCTTCAAATGCCCAGTTTTCAACAAAAGATCCCAAGGTGTACAAAGAAACAGAAACATGCAGCCCCTTCACAGGGACAAAATACATCTACAGAAGCTATCCCTGAGGAAACCAACACAACCTTCTGCTGTGTGCATAAAATGTACAATCACAATATCTAGCAGGTGTCTGGCAATGTACTTCTTACACAATAACATCATCTTATCTGGTCCTATATTATACATCATGTTATGATGTACATGTCTATATTATAGAAATAAATGATGATGCTATATTACTATAGGATATATATTTTTATTCCCAGGGCTCAATCACTAACTGATTTGCCCAACATTATGCAGCCAGATGGTGTAGAAATGGAAGCAGAAACCAGGTCTTCTGACCCCTAGTCTAATGCTCTTCCACTGCCTGGCCAGGCTCAGTCTGGAATGCAGCATTTGACTCCAAATTAAGGGAGGAAAATGGGCAGACGAGAAAAAAGTGAGGGGGGTGTCTAGGAACACTGTCCTGTGAGAAGCGAACCGTGATGAGCCTTGGTGCCATGTTGGTCCAGGGCCCCTGATCCCCTGAGCCCCCAAGTGATAGGTCACAGTCTTTCAGGGATTCCTAGCACATTTTCCTGTGAGATGACATAAGGTCCATTGGAGGATCTGTGATTGCTTCCTGGAGCTTTGGTCTTGGAATTCTCACCCTTATTGCCTGTGACCTTACAAGTACAGTTTTTGAGGATGCCTCGGTCCGCCAGCCGTCCTGACACTATAGCAGCTGCAGGGCGTCCACCTTTGGTGTGGTGTGAAGAGCCTGCTCCAGTGAACCCCTCTTTGTGGAGCCCCCATCTGCTGTGTCTTCATGTCCAGGCAGCTTAGGGGGCCTGCATTCTCTGCCTAGCTTCTCTGGTCACTGAGCAAACAGGGTTCAGGCAGAGCGTCCTCTCGTGGGTTCAGGCAGACCCCCAGGACTACACGTAGCAGCTGCCTCCTGGCCTCCGGGTCCTGGAGGACTCTCCCACTCCCTCACTCCCCAGCCCCACCTTCCTTACTGAACCAAATCCCTTCCTCCCACTTCTACTTTTGCCCCAGCCCTTCAACGTCCCTGCCCGTTCAAGGTCTTGATGCAGTGGTATTTGTGAACGCCGCCACTGAGCCAAGAGAGGACAGTGTTGGCCATTTACTCTCTGCCTGGACATGCGCACTCACGTGTGTGTTGGGGAGCCAGGGGCAGAAAAGGAGGTGCTGGGAGGCCGGGCCAGGTCTTTCAGGCCTAACACCATCAGAATCCTGCCAGCCCCGTGGTAGAGACTGGACAGGAGTTCAGACCCCTCCGTGCTTCTCTTTCCCTTCCTTAAATGGAGTCTAGGTCACTTCCACCAGGGAGCGTGTGCCCTGTGCCCCAGACCCCTGCAGGTGATGAGACCAGGTGGGAAGAGCTGCAGCTTCCTAAGTAGCTAGGTGACCTTGGGCATATTCCCCACCTCTCCTGACTTTGTGACAAAATAACACACCCTTCCTCGGGAGATTCCAACTTAATACACTCATTGAATTAAAAAAAAAAAATTGGGACCACTAGAAAGACAGGAGGAAACGTATATCAATACAGTACATATTTACAGAACTGTGTATCAAGCAACTCGTACCTTTCAGGGCCGGATCCGTCTCGCTGTCACTTACTCTTGATTCTGGGCGTGAAGAAACGCTGCCCTCTGGAAGTTGAAAAGGCAAGTTTTTTGCCCATGGAGAAGACTGAAGAAATGACTGTTTCATGGAACCATAGGAGTTCTTGCCACTGAAAAAGTGAGAAATGAAAGATCTTCGTGAGATGCAGACTGCTGGTGGCCACACCTCGTGTTCCTGCAACTTCACTGGGTCACCTTCATCCAGTCCTGCCAGTAGTTTGCAAACACGGTGTTCTCCCTATGCATGCTCTGTGTTCAAAGCACTCATTTTATGAGGATAGTCACACTGGATGGGGGGTCCAGCCTACTCAGTATGACCTCATCTTAATGAATCACCTCTGCAAGGACCCTCTTTCCAAATAAAGTCACGTTCTGAGGTTCTAGGTGCCAGGGGTAGGGGGACACAGTTCAACCCACGACACACGTTTTGGTTCCTTATTTTTAGAAAATACATCCGCGTTTAAAACACATACCAAGAAAGGATTGCAGGGCAAGTGGTGCCTTTCCACGATTGCGTTTCCTTTTTATCACAGTATTGCACGGCTGTGCATTGAACGTCAGAAGGAAGGAGGCAGCAGAGGTGACAGGCACAGGCATGGCCATGTGTGGAGCCTCAGGCGAGCCACAGGCCTGCCCTGCCACGGAGGAACACGACATGCAAATCCACTGCATTGCCAAGCATCCTGTTTTTGCTCTCCCACTGTGTTCCCACCAGTCCGCCTTACTGTGCTTCCAACTCAGACCTCAAATGAGCCCTTGGAGGTTCACAGTCTCAACATGGTCACAGAACGCGAATTCAGTTTTAAAGTGAGGGTCTGTAGTATTATTATTGTGCAGATTTAGAGGGGACCGTTTAGAGGGTGCCGTTATTTTTTGTTATCAAGTTTATTAAAGAAAGTCCTGTGTCACAACAATGAAACTCATAAATGAAAGCAAGCATTACTCATTTTTAAAACTGTCATTCTCATTAGGACACACCACCCTATAAGATAGCCCTTTGCTGTGGGAGATTTTTAAAATAACTTTTAAAAATTATATTAATAATTCAAAAATTATAAAAACGCTCATTGTTGAAAATATGAGAGAAAACAAAAATAAAAATAAAAATTGGCTATAATCCCATTATTAGATGATGATAATATAATATTTTGGCGTAAGTCTTTCCAGTATTTTTTTCTCATTTATTGAATATTTCATCAAATTGTAATGGATTTTTAATAGTTTCTATAGGATATAAAAATAAAATATATATCCAGCGTAAACAAAGTATAAGATCCAGGAAAAAGGAGAAAGACAAACATTAAAATACTCGGCAATCCCAGAGGCATTCCCTATTAACATTTTGGTGCACTTCTCCCAGTCACATTCTTGTCTATCGCATTGCCATGTGTTTGGATACTCCAGAGAGAATGCAGGATCCTCCACTGCCTTCTGAAGGGTTTTCACTTGATCTGTGTCACAGGTCTGGCCACAAGAGATTGGCTAAAAGATAGGTGCCTGACCCGGGGCAGCTGGTGTATAGGTCAGCGGTAACCTCTGGGCCCTGGCTCGAGATCGCCATGCAAGAGGGGCACTCTGATGTCAGTGGCAGTTAGCCCACCCAGCCAGTCTCTGCTTGGGAAGCGTGCTTCCAAGATCTCAGGTGATCAGTTGTAGTGGCAGGAGCAACTGAAGGAGAAACAGAATGTGCTAGAATGTCTGCAGAACCAAAGCACTAAAACGAGTGGTAGAGGCCCTGTGGAGGCCCCAGCTTTTGGACCACATGGACATATGGAACATGGGGACCCTGAGGTGGCCTTATGTATGTGGGATATCAGTTGGCAAACGTTTTGAAATACAGCATTATATTAATCAGAAATGTTGGTTGCAAATTACAGACATCCTCTGATTAACTTGAATATTTCAAAAGAGAGTTATTGGAATGCTATTGGGTAGTTTATAAAATTAATGGAAACTAGAGAACCAGGTTTGCAAACTGGCAGGATCCAAGGCGAACTAGGAGTCAAGAGCACAGCCAAGTCGCAACACAGGAAGAGGCTAATAGAACATCATTGCGTCACGACCACAATGGTTAGCTGGACTATTCCTCTGGATTCTTGGCTCTTCTGCCTCTGGAGACTTGAATAACCTCTAACTGCCCCTGCATCCTCGGGTCACCTTCTCAAGATTCAAGTTCCAGATAAAAGCTTCCAGTGGCAAGAATGTATGCCTGTGCCCTCCCAAGAGGGGCGGGGTCTACTCCCTACACATTCTATGGTGGAGGGGGTGGGTCCTGCTTCCCATCTTAGGATTTCTCTGAAGCCTAGAGATGAGTCCTGTGATGTTAACCAACTAGCAGAAAATAGCCAATATCCAACAAAACTCCTCGACTCACCTCTTTTCAGGATATGATCCAAAAGGAGGTTTAAGATTGTCTTCACAAAGCTCAAATTTTTTCTGTAGTTCTTCCAAAGTTGTAAAATAGTGTAGATCATTGGTGCGTGATACTGGTACTGGACCCCTGAAATTGGAAATTAAAAAAAAATTCGAAGGAGTCTGTGATGATACCAAGTATACACACATGTAATACCTAAATACTGACCATCATAGCCCACATAAATGCAAATTCAGTGAAATCTCTGTGAAACAATGTAGTGTATCCACTCAGAAACATTCACATCTGAGCTTGTTTTAGTCATCGGCATCAGGAAACTACTGAATTGGCACAGAGGGCACCTGCACACCTTCAGACCAGTTTGCAACCTCGGGCTGAGTAGCAGTGAACTCAGCAGCTGGAGCAGTCCGTTCACCCTGAAATTCTTCTGTGGTCACAGCTTTTTCAGCAGCAGCCTGCTCTTCCTTTTCAGTCACTTCGGGATCTCTGTAGAAGTAGAGATCAAGCATCACCTCCCACAGGTGTTCACGGAAGATGGTACCACACATGCGCAGAACTTCCCGAGCCAGCACCCACGTCAGACCCACTGAGTGAGCTCCCTTGGTGTTGCACGGGATGGCAATGTCCACGCAGTGCAGAGGAGAGTCTGTGTTACACAGAGCAATGGTGGGCAGGTTAACATAAGATGCCTCTGTGAGAGGGTGGTGGTCAGCCCTGGGATCAGTAACCACCAGCAGATGGGGCTCCCGGAAGGCTGCCTGGATCTGGTTGGTGAAGGTTCCAAGAGTGAAGCGGCCTGCAATAGGAGTGGCTCCGGTGGCAGCAGCAAACTTCAGCACAGCTCGCTGGCCAGTATTCCTGGAGGATATGACACTGACATCAGCAGGGTTTTCAATGGCAACAATGGCACGAACTGCAAGCAGAAGCCTCTCCCAGGTCCTCTTCAGATTTATGATGAATATGCCATCACTCTTCCTTTTACAGATGTACTGTCCCATTTGGAAGTCAAGGTTGGTGCCACCTAAGTGGGTGCCTGCTGCAAGGAATTTGAGGACATCCTCCTCCTTCATTTGCAGGATGTCAAGGGCTCCGGACATTGTGAAAGTTTCCCTTTAAGTTACGACGGGAGTTGAGAACAGCGCTGTATGGACCCCTCTGCAGGTAGCACAGAAAGGCTACAAATGTACTATTGTGAAATTTCTTATCATTAAACTATTAACAAAGGCCATTGTCCTCCTTGAGAGTTATCTATATTCTAGTTCATTTATTATGCAAGGTCCAGCAGTATATCAACTAGTATAAACACTGAAATTGACATTTTCCAACTGTTTATAATCGAACACTTTGAAATGGCATCCAAGTAAAATCTTCCTAAGAATTCTAATATTATACTCTCAACTAAACTCGCATATAAAATATTCATGTACTGTGTGCTCGCCTGTTCCCGAGAATGACTTGAAAGAAAAATAATCACAAACTATGTTTAGTGAGTAAACCGGCTGGGATCCACCTCAGACTTGCCAAAGCTGTGATGTGCAGAGCAGCCCAGTGCGTGTCAGCACAGCCGGTTGAAGCACCACTCGCCCTCGTGGTACTCCGTTTGGGGCTCCTGTTTCACATTGACTGGCTTCTCAGTCCAGGATGTCTAGACAGGCAGGGTGATCTACTGAGCATGGTCACACAGGCCCGAGCTTCAGCTGCCCTGGGGGACACGGTCTGTCTCTTGGTCACCACCCCCCCGACCCCAGGCATATACAACATGTAACCTGTTTTTCGAATCAGATCATCCAGAGATAGCCTACCAACATGGAGCAAATGAATCATGATTTTTTTGATATGGTGGCAAACAAGTGAACAGAAACTTAATTCTATTTATATTGATTAAAGATTCTCAACAGATATCCTAAAATTACAGACAAAAAGAAATTGAAATTGCAAATAGCTTTCAAAATTCTATTTCCTTGCGTCATTGTATTCTTAACTTTACTAAAAAGTTGTATACAATGCTATAATTAAGATTCTGTCAGACATCGAGTTGGTAAATATTTTTTCCTAGTCTGTGGGCTGTATCCCTGCTCTCTTGATGATTTATTTGGCTTTGCAGAAGCTTATCAGTTTAATGAGTCCCACTTGTCTATCTTATCTCTTATGGCCCATGCGTTTCAGGTTTTGCTCAGGAATTGGATGCCAGTTCCAACTTCCATAAGGGTGTGTCCTGCATTTTCTAAAGTTCTTATGGTTTGAGGTTTTACATTTAGGTCTCTGATCCATTTAGAGTTAATTTTTGTGTATGAGGATAGATAGGGGTCTTGTTTGAATCTTCTGCACGTGGTCAGATCATGGAACCAACCATGCTGTACATTAAAAGAGGACTGCATTAAAAAAATGTGGTAAATATACACAATGGAATATTACACAGCCATAAAAAAGAACAAAATCATGAATTTCATAGCAACCTGGATGGAATTGGAGTTTATAATATTGAGTGATCTCTCACAGAAACAAAGATCTGAGTATCACATGTTCTCACTCATAAGTGGACCTTGAACATCTATCGTAATACTATAAGAAAAGGATTGACAGTAGCGGGAAACTATGGGGGGGCAGGGAGGGGAAGAGAGGTGAGATTAACGATATCAATATCTGTCTGGGGACGGGGGGCACACCTCATCAACATCAAATATGTACCTGCACAATACATATTTGTATACCTAACCTTAACTATACCCCACAATTTTAAAATAAAAAAATGTTAAAAAAAAAAAAGAGATTTTGTCAGTGATCTTAGTGGCTTCTGAAAACAGGGACTTCATCATTTTATTATTCAATTATTCTAAAAGGCCACATAAAAAGAAAATATACTAAAACCTGAACATCAGTGAGAAAATAACATGCAAACCTTCCACAAATATTCTGTGATCTGGTTATTCATTGTGAGTAAAACTTAAAACTTTCAGGCATATGTATATGCCTCTTTATAAATAATAATAGAGCAATAATCATTATAGCTCCTAAGATCGGTGAAGCCGTCTTGTGTGGCAGGTACTAAGTGAAACATTTTATACTAAGGATTAAGAATCCATGGATTAATAAAGAGACAATGGTTCCCATCCTCAAGAAATTTCATATTAATGGAAAACAGACATTAAACAAATGATTCCACAAATAATTAATTACTGTTGCTCAGAGGTCATGACAGCCAAGGACAGGGCACTCAACAGGATATAATTGATCTTCAGTCATGAATAGCCTTGGTGAGGGCTGAGACTTCTATGGAAATACCTCCAGAAGTTGCATTCCCTATAATCTCCAAAACATCATCAGTTTCCAGCAGCTATGAGCATACTGTGCCTTTTGCAAATATATATAAGTAAAAAGGACATCCAAGTTCTGGAACTGGGTTTCCTACTGAATCACTGGGTCCAGTTTAGTACTGAGGTCTCTGTTTATGCTGATGGTGTAGGATCCATTTGGTATATTTGAACACTAGAAAATCAATCCAAAGTTGCTCAGGTATAGATACATATGATAAATTACTACCTTTGAAACAGGAGTGTATGATCAGGGGGTGTCTTTCCCATGAGGGCTTGCCGGGCTATTTCATACTGTCTGTGTATGGAATCTCTTTCCTAGGTAGGAAATATCATCAGAAAATTATATGATATTAAAAACATGTCAGATAGTTACAAAAGATATGATAATTCTCTTCTTAACAGACACTGACAAATATGTAGCAAGAAAAGGGAAAAAAGACAAGCATAAAAAATAATTTGTATTTGTTTGGTGTTAAAGAAAAAACAAACTCTATAAACAAAATCAAAATAGTTTTTATAAAGAATGCAATTTCACATAAAAACTGGGCATATAAATAATAATGTGGTGATTTTTATTAACATCTCATGCTTGCATTTTTATCTTTCTAATGACATTGTCTTTTTTTTTTTTTTTTTTTGAGTTGGAGTTTCACTCCATCATCACCCAGGCTGGAGTGCAGTGGCACGCTCACGACCACCCCATTGTTGACCTGCTGGGCTCAGGCGATCCTTCCGCCTCAGCCTTCCAAGTAGCTGGAACTCCAGGTGTGTGCTACCATGCCTGGCTAATTTTTTATTTATTGTAGAGACGAGGTCTTGCCAGGTTGCCGGCCTGGTCTTGAACCCGGGCTTAGGCAATCTACTCACCTTGGCCTCCCAAAGGGCTGGGATTACGGGCTGAGCCACTGAGCCTGACCTACTATTGTCTTTTTAGTCTTCCCAGATATTAGCACACATAGTAGCTAACTGACTAAATGAACATATCTACTGAAATATGGCAGGATCCAGAAACAGGGAAGCCTTGGAGGACTTTCTCCTGAACTTCACCAGCATCATCATCCCATACTTAGTGAGCATCTGGTGAGGATGCAGACATGTAAACGATATGGTCTCTGCATTCAGAAGGTTTCTAACCTGGTGGCAAAAGCAATTTTTTTAAAAAAGGTAAACAAAACCAAGATTGCACACACTATTTTGTAAATAATGCAAGGTGTGTTTATGCACCGAACACCAGCTGGAATGTGACCTGCCCAGCAACTGGCCATGGACTGGACTTCCTCAAAGCAAACCTAATATACACATTTTTAATTTACAGAAAACACAAATTAGCAAGTGCTTTTTTTTCTTTTTAACATAAAAGACTATTCTTTGTAAGGAGATTTAGAATAATATTTATTTAAACAAGGGCATTTAAATACACTAACCTTTGCTTGTAGTAACTTAATCTGCAGTAAGCCTTATGTCTTGATTTTATGTCATTACTGGTCTCCTTGTAAGCTGGCATGCCCTTACAACTGCAAAGGATATAGCAATGTGCATGTGTGCTGGGGAAAGGACGCAGATGGAGTGAGGTGCTGTGCAGGGCTGCAGACTGACCCCCCCATCTCGGCCCAGGGCAGGCATGTCTCTGGGAGATTTTTCTAAGAATTAAGTTGATATGATTCTGAAACTTTCTGATATGCAACACAAAGACATATCTGGAGGGGTGGCTGTGCTCTGTAGTGACACCAGGATGCACACACTAAGCACCTGTGAAACAAGTCACATTCCAGAACCCAGAAGCCCCTGCTCTTTCCTGCATCCCCTGCACACAACAGATACACTTTAGCATGAGAGAGCAATGTACATCATTAATGGATAGCAGTATAAATGCCAGGAGCTAATATAAGGTGGGAATAATGTTTGCCATTTTTTCAATTGAGAAAGATAGAATTCTCCCCAAATCATTTTATGAAGCTAACATCACACTGATACCCAAATCAGGTAAAGATCCAACAAAGAGAACTACAGGCCAATATCCCTAATGAACACAGATGCAAAAATTCTCAGCAAGATTCTAGCAAATTGGATCCAACAACACATCTCAAAAATCATCCACCATGACCAAGTAGGCTTCATCCCCAGGATGCAGGGCTGGTTCAATATCTGCAAGACCATAAATGCCTCAACAGATATAAGAACAAGAACCACATGATTATATCATTAGATGCAGAAAAAGCTTTCAACAAAATCCAGCATCCCTTCTTGATTAAAAAAACGCTTGAACACGTAGGCACAGAAGGAACATACCTCAAAAATAGTACCACCTACGATAAACCTACAGCCAGCATACTGCTAAATGGACAGAAACTGGAAACATTTCCCCTGAAAACCAGAAAAAGACAAGGTTGCCCACTCTCACCGCTCCTGTTCAACATTGTGTTGGAAGTTCTAGCTAGAACAATTAGACAAGAGAAGGAAATAAGGAGTATCCAAATAGGAAAGGAGGAAGTTAAGTTATTCCTCTTTGCTGACAATATGATCCTATACCTTGAAAACCCAAGAGAATCTGTCAAAAACTTCCTTGCACTGATAAAGGACTTTGGCAAAGTCTTGAAGTACAAAATTAATGTGCAAAAGGCAGTTACATTCTTATATGCCAACAACAAACTGATAAAAAGCACAATCCTATTCACAATAGCCACACACACACACACACAAACACACAAATGAAATACCTTGGCATCTTCCTAACCAGAGAAGTGAAAGACTGTACAATGAAAACTACAAAACACTGCTCAAAGAAATCCAAGAAGACACAAACAAATGGAAAAATATTCCATGTTCATGGATTGGAAGAATCAACATTGTTAAGATGTCCATCCTACCCAAGACAATCTACAGATTCAACACAATACTCATTAAATTAGCAATATCAATTTTCTCAAACCTGGAAACAATAATACAGAAATTCAAATGGAAGCATAAACAACCACGAATAGCCAAAACAATCCACAAAAGAAACAAAGCAGGAGGTATCACACTTCCAGACTTTAAACTTTAATATAAGGCTACGATAATCAAAACAGTCTGGTATTGGTATAGGAACCAGCATATAAACCAATGGAACAGTATAGACATTCTGGAAGCAAAATCTCAATTTCTCAACCAATTCATCTTCGACAAAGCCTCTACCAACAACCACTAGGGAAAGGAGAACCTAGTCAGTAAATGGTGCTAGGAAAACTGGCTGACCACATGCCAAAGAATGAAACAGGATACCTACCTATCACCAAACACAAAAATCAACTCTAAATGGATCAAAGACCTAAACGTAAAACCTCAAAATATATGAATCTTAAGAAAATGCATGAGCCACCCTTACAGAAATTGGAATAGGCAACCAATTCCTGATCAAAACCCCAGGTGTCCGTGCCATAGAGATAAGATAGACAAGTGGGACCTCATCAAACTGAAAAGCTTCTGCAAAGCAAAAGAAACCATCAAGAGAGCGGGGAGACAGCCCACAGAATGGGAAAAAAAATATTTGCCAACTGTATATCGAACAAAGGTCTAACACCCAGAATCTACAAGGAACTCAACTGTGCCAAAAGGAAAAAAACAAACAGCCCTATTAAAAAGTGGGTCCCCTCCCACTGTGGGAGCTTTTCTGTCCTCTCAAAAAATTATGCTTTCAAAAAAAAAAAAGTAGGCAAAAGACTATGAATAGATACTTCTCAAAAGAAGATATACAGGCAGCCTACAGACACATGAAAAAGCGCTCAGCCTCATCAGAGAAATGCAAATCAAAACCACACTGTGATACCACCTAACCCCAATAAGAATGGCCATCATTAATAAAACAAACAACAACAGATGCTAGTGAGGATGTGGAGAAGAGGGACTGCTTCTACACTGCTGGTGGGAATGCAAACTAGTTCAACCTCTATGGAAAACAGTGTAGCAATTCCTAAAATAACTAGAACTTGACCTTCCATATGACCCAGCAATCCCCTACTGGGAATATACCTGGAGGAACTCAAATCATTCTACAAAAAAGATACCTGCCCACACATGTTTATTGCAGAACTATTCACCATAGCAAAGACATGGAAGCAACCGTGCTGCCCACTGAAACTGGACTGGATAAAAAAAATGTGGCACCTATATACGATGGACTATTACACAGTTATAAAGAAGGACAAACATATAAACTTTGCAGCAACTTGGATGGATTTAGAATCTGTAATAGTGATCTATCGTAAGAACAAAGAACAGTATCACATGTTCTCACTCACAAGCAGACCCTGAATATTTACCATAATACTTTTAAGAAAAGGATTGGCTATAGCGGGATACTGCAAGCATTGGGGGGCAGGGGGCACAGCATCAATGAGGGTACCTGATCTCAAACCAGGCAAAGGGGGAACCAAAGGGAGGCCCAAACTTTGCCTATATGATGTCCAATTGTACACCTAATCCTGCATTGTACCACACATCTTTAAAATAAAATATAAATAAAAAAATAATGCTTGCCATTTTTTGTAATCTAGACTAGAATTTGTGTCAACTGTTCCCAGCTTTAAAGGCTAGGTAAGCTTTTGAAATTGATCTTTGGAAACCAAGACACACAAAAGCTAATGTGGATGTGATGAACACACACTCAGGTAGAGATTTCATTCCCAAGACCACTTTACTCTTCCCTGACCTTTAGCTCTGTGGTTCAGGATGAGGAGAACATTGTGCTGGGGAGGGTGGCAGGGGAGGAAGGAAGGAGACAAGAAAGAAACAAGTCCTATATGAATCTCACCAATGTAAAAACTATATGTTGTGGCCAGGTGCAGTGGCTCATACCTGTAATCCTAGCACTTTGGGAGGTCGAGACAGGAGGATCACTTGAGACCTGGAGTTCAAGACCAGCCTGGACAACATAGCAAGATCTCATCTTTACAAATAATAATTTTAAAAAAATTAGTTGGCCATGGTGGCATGCGCCTATAGTCCCAGCTACTCAGGAGGCTGAGGCAGAAGGATCACCTGAGCCCAGGAGGTTGAGGCTGTGGTGAGCCATGATTGTGCCACTGCACTCCAGTCTGGGCCAAAGAGTGAGACTCCAACTCAAAAAACAAAAAGAAAATATATGTCTCGATGACTCCATGAATAAACCTAGTTTCACATTGCTATAAAATAACTGATTTATTATTATTTTTTCTTTGTTATTATTCGATCTCCGGTGCAACTGGGGAATTCCCATCAAGTAAGATGGAGAAGGTTTCAGGTGATGCAGATTTAGTGCAAAGATCAGGATTTTAGTTTTGGAGGAAGTGAGTGTAGAGATAAGAGAACAAGGGACAAAAGAAAAGAAAAAGGAGAGAAGGAAGGGAGAAAGAAAGGAGGAGTAGGAAGTAGGGCTGAGGCTCCAACAGCAAGAAGGCAGGTGAAAAAAAGGGAGCTAGGAGGAACAGCAGGAAGGAGGGAAGCATGACTGAATTAAGTGGCTCAGACAAGAAGGCTGCTCCTGTAGGAACAGATTGATCCTGAGAGGGAACAGGTGCCAGTGTCAGGAGGATCAAAGACACCGTAAGTTCGTCATTATGTAGTCAACTCCCTGCCCGCCCACCAGTTGGAGAAGGGAGCTTTGCAGGAGGGCTTCTCAGATACGTATTCAGCGTCACCCTTCTGTTCACTTGTTTATTCATGCATGGGTTCAGCAAGTACTTACGGAAGCCATGCAAGGTGTCAGACACCCACACCAGAGGCTGGGAAACCATCTATGAGTAAAGCAGAGTCGAGTAAGTGATCAGCAAGTCGTGGGAAAATTGCAGGATATCATAGTAAGTGGGGGCATTGAGAACTGGCCTCATGAAGAGCTGGGAACATCTCTGAGATGCTCGTTTGTCCCCTGTGGGCCTAACTGAAGCTTTTTATGACAAAAGAAATATTGCAAGTGAAAAGAGTTCAGAGCCATGAGGATCCTGAGTTCAAATCAGCCAAAAGAAAAGAGGACAAAGACACTGGAAAGCGAATGTATGCTTTCAGGAGTCACATTGATACATCAACACTGAAAAATGCACCTGAGTAGAAGAAAGTGTTTTTCTCCTAGAGTCAAAATAGACATTTCTAAGCTGTGTGATTTTGGACAAGCAACTTGCCCTCCCTGAGCTGATGTGTCTCAGGGCACTGAAAGTCAGAAATGGTGCATGGTGGAGGTAGGTGCCCAACACTGCGTCGCCACCAAGCCGCTTTCTCGTTGGCCTTCACACAGCAGGGCACTTCTCAGGGCTGTACTGGCCTTGTGTGCTATACACTTGCATCTGCCAGACTGGCTCTCAGTGAATTAGTCATGTGGCTTTTTTTTTTTCCTGGAGAACTGGTTTTCGGTGACTTCACCTGCTTTGGGGATAAAGGTGTCCTCTGGGGAAGTTATAGAAGGTGGTTAAAGAAACAGATACAATGGAAATACAGTAAGGTAAGTCTCTTCTAGAAGGAAAAGTCCTTATCACAACAACAATTGCGGAGCAAAGGATCTCACCCAAGTCAGCCTAGCCTTTGTGTACGCTTTCCAGAGAGCCAGCCATGCAGGAGGTGCTGGCTTGTTCTCAAGAGAGGGAAGCGGAAGAATGGTGATCTCTGACGAGCAACACAGGAAACAAGAGTCTCCTCCTCATCCTCCTCCTCTGTAACTATTGTCTACATGTGGTGTAAATAAAAGCCTCTCACTGGACGGTGTTTGTGATATACTTTTTGCAACAGTAAGAAAAGAGGTGTGCATTTTTAAAAACTCAAACCTAAAAGGAAAATTTGTGTTTAAGAAGTAAGACTGATTAAAATTATATTTACATTTCTTGAAGAATCTCTTAGAGCTGTTCAGATTGATGGGCTTTAGGAGTCATTCCATAAATGCCATTTAAGATAGGAAGAGAGAAGAAATAAAGCTACAAAGAATTATAAAAGCAAGGAATGAGGCAATGAGTACATTGAATAGTTTATTAAATTATCTAAGTTCATATTGAACTATGATCATATTTATAGAAAGCACTTTATCTTTATAAACCATTGGAATAGCGGTCAAGCAATGTGCTGTCAGTAGATCTCGGTAAGACCTAAGGAGCGAAGAGGTATATTCTCCAACATTTCTCTGGGAAGATGAACCACTGGGATCTAGAGTGACCAGGAACCTCAGGAATTAGAAACAGAGCTGCTGCTGGAGACCGGGAGTCAGTGATGCTGAGGCTGCCCACACTCCGTGAGCCCACGCTCCACTCAGAGAGAGAAGGCAGCGGAAGGGCCAGAGATGCATTGGCCTCACCCCACCTGAGCGAGTCGACCTGTGGTCTCACGACTATCATACATGTTTTCTAGGCGGGGACCAGCTCCGCATTGTTCCAGCATCTGCAGCAGGGTCCAGTTAGCAAACATCTGCTCCCCAACAGAAGAGCAAGTCCTGATCCCACATACATGGCAGGAATTCAACAAATGCGGGAGGGGCAGGTAGGGAGGCACAAGTGAAGGAATGGGGGAAGGAGAGGGA